TGTTCTTTGGGTGTTCCTGGAATGTTCTTGGAGGTGTTGGTGGAACGTTCCTGGGGGTGTTGCTGGAATTTTTCTTGGAACGTTCCTGGGTGTTCTTGAACGTTCCTTGGGATGTTTCTGGAATGTTCCTGGGGGTTTGGGCCCCCCCAGCCCGGATTTGGTGGGTTTGGGGTTTTTGGGAGGTGGCGGCACCTCGGGGATGCTCAGGAGAGGTCCTGACACCACCAAAAAGGGCCTGGGTGGTCCCAAAACCACTGAGTTGTGGTGTGGAAGGAGAAGGATTGATAAAACCACGGAATCGTGGCATGGAGTGAACAAGAGCTCCTAAAAACACTGAAATTTTGTCATGGAAGAGAGAAGAGTTCCTAAAAACTCTGGGATTTTGTCTTCTGGGCGAGAAGAGTTCCTAAAAACACTGGAATTGTGTCAAGGATGGAGAAAAGCTCCTAAACCCATCGGAATTGTGTCATGGAAGGGAGAAAAGCTCCTGAAAGGCCTGGAATGAGGTCCTGGAAGTGGGAGAGTTCTGGAGAACCACCAAAACACGGGGTTGGATGTCTGGGAAGGTCCTGAAAGTGACCAAAAATGGCCTTGGAAGGTCCTGAAAGTGACCAAAAATGGCTTTCCCATGAAATGTTCCTGGGCTGTGTCCATGTCCCTCGCCGGGGGGTCCCGCTGATGGTGGTGATTTTTTTGGGGGAATTTTTTTGGGTTTTGGTGATTTTTTCCTCCTGGATTTTGATTTTTTGGGGATTGCTTGGGCCCCCCCCCGTGTGGTGTGAGGGTGGGAGGAGGAGGAGGAGGAAGAGGAGGAAGAAGAGGAGGAGGAAGAGGAGGAAGAGGAGGGTCACCTCTCCAGGTGTGACCCCTCTCCAGGTGTGTCATCTCTCCAAGTGTGTGTCACTTCCCAGGTGTGTCACCCATCCAGGTGTGTCAACTCTCCAGGTGTGTCACCTCTCAGGTGTGTTACCCATCCAGGTGTGTCACCTCTCCAGGTGTGACCCCTCTCCAGGTGTGTCATCTCTCCAAGTGTGTGTCACTTCCCAGGTGTGTCACCCATCCAGGTGTGTCAACTCTCCAGGTGTGTCACCTCTCAGGTGTGTTACCCATCCAGGTGTGTCACCTCTCCAGGTGTGACCCCTCTCCAGGTGTGTCATCTCTCCAAGTGTGTGTCACTTCCCAGGTGTGTCACCCATCCAGGTGTGTCAACTCTCCAGGTGTGTCACCTCTCAGGTGTGTTACCCATCCAGGTGTGTCACCTCTCCAGGTGTGACCCCTCTCCAGGTGTGTCATCTCTCCAAGTGTGTGTCACTTCCCAGGTGTGTCACCCATCCAGGTGTGTCAACTCTCCAGGTGTGTCACCTCTCAGGTGTGTTACCCATCCAGGTGTGTCACCTCTCCAGGTGTGACCCCTCTCCAGGTGTGTCATCTCTCCAAGTGTGTGTCACTTCCCAGGTGTGTCACCCATCCAGGTGTGTCAACTCTCCAGGTGTGTCACCTCTCAGGTGTGTTACCCATCCAGGTGTGTCACCTCTCCAGGTGTGACCCCTCTCCAGGTGTGTCATCTCTCCAAGTGTGTGTCACTTCCCAGGTGTGTCACCCATCCAGGTGTGTCAACTCTCCAGGTGTGTCACCTCTCAGGTGTGTTACCCATCCAGGTGTGTCACCTCTCCAGGTGTGACCCCTCTCCAGGTGTGTCATCTCTCCAAGTGTGTGTCACTTCCCAGGTGTGTCACCCATCCAGGTGTGTCAACTCTCCAGGTGTGTCACCTCTCAGGTGTGTTACCCATCCAGGTGTGTCACCTCTCCAGGTGTGACCCCTCTCCAGGTGTGTCATCTCTCCAAGTGTGTGTCACTTCCCAGGTGTGTCACCCATCCAGGTGTGTCAACTCTCCAGGTGTGTCACCTCTCAGGTGTGTTACCCATCCAGGTGTGTCACCTCTCCAGGTGTGACCCCTCTCCAGGTGTGTCACTTCTCAGGTGTGTCACTTCTCAGGTGTGTCACTTCTCAGGTGTGTCACCTCTCAGGTGTGTCACCTCTGTGTGTGTGTCTCCTCTCAGGTGTGTCACCTCTCAGGTGTGATCCCTCTCCAGGTGTGATCCCTCTCCAGATGTGTGTCACCTTTCCAGGTGTGTCACCTTTCCAGGTGTGTCACCTCTCAGGTGTGTCACCCATCCAGGTGTGCCACTCCCCCAGGCTCCAAGTGGGAAAGCAATGGCCCCTCCCCCTTTTCCAACCCCCCCCAATCCCAGGGATCCTCCCCAAAGCTCGTGGCCCCTCCCTCCCTGGTGCCCACCTGGCCAGGTGAGGCCGCCCCCTTACCTGTCCCGCTCAGGTTGGGGTTGGTGTAGTCCCAGGTGTCCTGGTCGTTCTTGAACACGTTCAGGCGGCTGGGCTGGGGGGGCAGGGGGGGTTGGCACCTGCCCACCTGTGCCCAGGTTGTGTCCCAGCTGTCCCCAGGTGTGCCCACGTGTCCCCAGGTGTGCCCCCAGGTGTGCCCAGCTGTCCCCAGGTGTGCCCAGCTGTCCCCAGCTGTCCCCAGGTGTGCCCCCAGCTGTGCCCAGGTGTCCCAAGCTGTCCCCAGGTGTGCCCAGGTGTGCCCAGGTGTGCCCACCTTGGCGTACTCGATCTTGAGCGTGCAGCACCCCGAGTAGATGTCGGCGCCGTTGAGCGAGGCCTTGGCGCGCTGCGCGCTCTGCACCGAGTCGAACGTGCCCCGGGGTCAAGGAGAACAAAACCCGGACTTTGGGGCAATTCCTGAGGGATTTGGGGCAATTCCCGAGGGATTTGGGAACTCCTGAGGGATCTGGGACTGGGGCAACTCCCAGTGGGGTTTGGGATTGGGGTCAAGCGAGGCCTTGGCTCTGCACCGAGTCCAACGTGCCCCGGGGTCAAGGAGAACAAAACCTGGACTTTGGGGCAATTCCTGAGGGATTTGGGGCAATTCCTGAGGGATTTGGGATTGGGGAAATTCCTGAGGGATTTGGGGCAATTACCAACAGGATCGGGGCAACTCCTGAGGAGATTTGGGGAATTCCTGATAGGATTTGGGGGAATTCCCGATGGGATTTGGAGGAATTCCCGATGGGATTGAGGCAATTCCTGACAGGATTTGGGGCAATTCCCGAGGGATTTGGGAACTCCTGATGGGATCTGGGGAACTCTTGATGAGATCTGGGATTGGAGGAACCCCTGACTGGATTTGGGGGAATTCCCAACTGGATTTTGGGAATTCCTGAAGGAACCTGGGGATTTTTGTGACCTCAGGAGAGTGAGGCCACCTGAGCTATTTAGGGCAGCTCAGCCCCCCTGGACGCCCATTCCCGAGGGAACTGGGGGCACTGAGATTTCGGGGACCCCCCCAAAAACCCAAAATCCCCCAAATTGCAGTGTGGGATATTCCACCATGGCCTGCACGCCGTTCTTGCGGAAGATGACGATGCGCTGCACCGGCCCGCACGGGTTGCAGATGGTGTACAGCACGTCCTGGGGGGACACGGGGGTCAGGGGCACCCCAAAACACACCCGCGACCCCAAAATGCAGCCCAGGACCCAAAAACTACATCCCAGGACCCCAAAAATACAGCCCAGGACCCCAAATACCCACCTGGGACCCTGAAAAGTAACAAAAGACCCCAAAAAACCCACCTGGGACCCCAAAATACAGCCCGGGATCTGAAACACCCACCTGGGACCCCAAAATACAGCCCAGGACCCAAAAAATACAGCCCAGAACCCAAAAATACAGTTAAGAACCCCAAAATCCCAATAAAAACCCCCAAAGCCCCTCACCGTGGTGATGGAGTAAATGGGGTTGGAGATGGTGAAGAGCAGCACGTTGGTGGTGACCCCAAACCCCAACAAACCCCAATAAAACCCCAATAAACCCCAATAAACCCCAATAACAGCCCCTCACCGTGGTGATGGAGTAGATGGGGTTGAGGATGGTGAAGAGCAGCACGTTGTTGACGCCACGCGCGTCGTCGCTGTCGCCGGGCCGCGAGATCTTCTGGCTGGTGGAGTAGTTGACGAAGGCAGGGTGGCCGGCGAAGTAGATCTGGTTGTCGGCCGCGTAGTTGACGGCGTTGCAGGCGCCCAGGATGTCCTCGAACTCCACCAGGGCCTGCCGCTTCTTTGGCATCACCACCACGTAGCTGGGACAGGGGACACGGTCAGCGTGGTGGTGGCACCTCGTGGTGGCATCACCCCATGGTGTCACCAACCCCTGGCATCACCACCACGTAGCTGGGACAGGGGACACGATCACCGTGGTGGTGGCACCTCGTGGTGGCAGCACCCTGGTGTCCCCACCCTGGTGTCCCCAGTGTCTCCAGTGTCCCCCGGTGTCCCCGTGTCCCCACCTGATGGGCCCGAACTCCTGCAGCGCCTCCACCAGGTCGGCCTCCACGATGCCGTCGATGAGGCCGCGGATGTGAACCACGGGCGACGCCGGCGTCTTGTGCGGGTCCTCGTAGTTCTCCTGGGGACACTGAGGGCTTAGGGACACCCCTGTGGGGCTGGGGACTGTCCCTGTGGGGCTGGGGACATCCCTGTGGGGCTGGGGGACGTCCCTGTGGGGCTGGGGGACGTCCCTGATGGGTTTGGGGACATCCCTGTGGGGCTGGGGACTGTCCCTGCTGGGTTTGGGGACACCCCTGTGGGGCTGGGGGACGTCCCTGGGGGGCTGGGGACTGGCCCTGTGGGGCTGGGGACATCCCTGTGGGGCTGGGGACGTCCCTGATGGTTTGGGGACATCCCTGTGGGGCTGGGGACTGTCCCTGCTGGGTTTGGGGACACCCCTGTGGGGCTGGGGGACGTCCCTGGGGGGCTGGGGACTGGCCCTGTGGGGCTGGGGACATCCCTGTGGGGCTGGGGGACGTCCCTGTGGGGCTGGGGGACGTCCCTGATGGGTTTGGGGACATCCCTGTGGGGCTGGGGACTGTCCCTGCTGGGTTTGGGGACACCCCTGTGGGGCTGGGGGACGTCCCTGGGGGGCTGGGGACTGGCCCTGTGGGGCTGGGGACATCCCTGATGGGTGTGGGGACATCCCTGTGGGGCTGGGGACTGCCCCTGATGGGTGTGGGGACATCCCTGATGGGTTTGGGGACACCCCTGTGGGGCTGGGGACTGGCCCTGTGGGGCTGGGGACATCCCTGTGGGGCTGGGGACGTCCCTGATGGGTTTGGGGACATCCCTGCCGGGCTGGGGACTGGCCCTGTGGGGCTGGGGACTGGCCCTGTGGGGCTGGGGGATGTCCCTGTGGGTTTGGGGACACCCCTGTGGGGCTGGGGACTGGCCCTGTGGGGCTGGGGACATCCCTGTGGGGCTGGGGACGTCCCTGATGGGGTTGGGGACATCCCTGCCGGGCTGGGGACTGGCCCTGTGGGGCTGGGGACTGGCCCTGTGGGGCTGGGGACTGGCCCTGTGGGGCTGGGGGATGTCCCTGTGGGTTTGGGGACACCCCTGTGGGGCTGGGGACTGGCCCTGTGGGGCTGGGGACATCCCTGTGGGGCTGGGGACATCCCTGTGGGTTTGGGGACATCCCTGTGGGGCTGGGGACTGCCCCTGATGGGTGTGGGGACATCCCTGTGGGGCTGGGGGATGTCCCTGTGGGTTTGGGAACATTCTCCCCGGGTTTGGGGACATCCCTGGTGGGTTTGGGGACACTGAGGGCTTGGGGACACCCCCAAACCCCGCAGCTCTGGGGCCAGGCCGAGTAGAAACGGGACCCCTACACCCCTTAAATTTAAACTTTTTGCAATCAAAATATCTGCCCCCACTCAGTATTTACCCCACAATGTTTACCCCTCACTTCCAAAAAAAATATTTTTTTCCACTCCTCGGCACTTAATCCCCAATATTTACTTCTAGTATTTATTCCCTCATAAATAATCTTAATCTCTATTTATGCCTAATATTTCCCCCAATATTTCTCTTCAACATTTACTCCCTCAGAAATCTTTCATCCTCCCTCAATATTTACCCCCCAGTATTTAACACCTCAGAGCAAACTTTTTACTTCCTCTCAACACTCTTAATGGGAATCTTTTACCGCCCCTCAGTATCTGCTCCCTCACAGAAAAATCTTTTACCCCTCTCAGTATCTACCCCCCAATATTTACCCCTCAAACGGGATATTTTACCCCTCTCAGCCCTTCCCGCCATGTTTGTCCCCTCAGAACCCCGCTCCCCACAACTTCCCCCCTCACACAAATTTTTCCCCCCTCCTCAGCTCCTTTTAACCTTTTATGAGGGTCCCCTACGCCCCCTCAGCCCTCCCCGCCATTTTTTTCCCCTCACAGGAGCTCTTTAAACCCCCTCAGCCCTTCCCGCCATTTTTTCCCCTCACGGGAACTCTTTAACCCCCCTCAGCCCTTC